CCCTCACTTCCCAGTTGTATCCATTAACAAGTCCTATGGATTTTACTTCCAAAACATTCCCTGAGTCAATCCATTTCTCTCCAACTCACTCCTACCACCCTGGTCTATGCCACTATCACCTTTCACCTGGACTGCTGAACTCACTTCTTAATTGCCCTAGTTCCAATCTTACCCACCTATAACCATTTCCATTATAGTGGACAGAATGATTTTTTTCAAAACCGAAAATCAGATCATGTCTTGTCCCTGCCACAATCTCTCCAATGGCTTCTGTGGCTGAGATTGGTTTTATATTAATATCCTTTCTCTCCTTCTACCTCAATAATAGGACCTCTAAAGTTTTGATGAGCACGTGGAGGCCCAAAATAAAGAATACATTTTCCAGAGTCCCTCCTTGTACTCAGGTGTGGTTTGTGACTGAGTTCTGACTAATGAGGTTCTGTGTTGTTTCTTGGCATGTCCTTAAAAAGGGCAAGCTCTTCCTGTTGCTTTAAAAGAGATGATGGCTGAAGCTAGAATAGACTATGAGGTAAACCTGGGAGTGGAAATAATGTATTATGGAGCAATAAGATAGAAGAAGCCTGGGTCCCTTACACAGTAGAGCAACCCACCAGCCATGGAATGCCTGTCTAGACTTTTACATGAGAGAAATAAACTTCATCTTGTTTAAGCCCCAATTATTTTGGTTTTCTGTCATAGTGGGACCTAATTCTAAGTAATACAGCTTCCCATCACACTTAGAAGAAAATTCAAACTCCTTACCAAAGTCCGGAAAGTTCTACATTATGTGGTCCCACTCCAGTATAATCTTTCCACTTTGCCCTCACTCATCGCGCTCCAGTCACTCTAGCTTTCTTTTTTGCTGCCTCAACACACCAAGCTTCTTTATGCTTTAGGGCTTTTGCACTTGTTTTTCCCTCTTCCTGGCTTGCTTCTCCTCGGACCTCCTCATGGCTGACTCGTTTTTGACAATCAGGTCTCAGCTTAAATATCTCTGCTTTAGAGGTAGTTCCTCTGAAAAAAAAAAAAAAAAACCAACCCAAAAGTATACTCACTCTCTTTTACAATTCCTTATTTTAATTCTCTTCTTAGAACTTATCACTAATTGATGATTCTTTAAGTGGTTTATTGTCTGCCTCCCCTTACTAGAATGTAAGCTCCATGAAGATAGGAATTTTGATTGGTTGTCTAGAACAATGCCTGAAACCTAATAGACAGGGAGTGTTTGTCAAATGAATGGTCAAATAATATTTTGTGGATAGTGTGGTGATTGAAAACAGGGTTCTTAAAGTCAGACAACGCAGATCAGAATCCTAGCAGCGCCACGTACCAGTTGTGTGACCTACCGCAAATTATATAATCTAAGACTCTCTGTAAAAGGAGATTTCCTATGGCACTGGGTAGGAGTAAGTAAAATAGCATTTATAAAGCGCGCCCTCTCCTTTTTACCTTCCTCTCAGAGCTCCCTCTTTCCTCCTCCCCTCGGCCTCTCACATGGCCCCTTCTCTTCTGCTTTGCATGCCTCTGCAAACCGTCTTTGTGACTAGGTCTTTGAAATTTGGCGGGAATTAACGTCATCAATAGAGAGGACGAGAGTTGCGCTTGCGCGGGACACCACTATTTCTCGCGCGCTATCTTTGCAGCCTCCACAGCCAATCAGAGTTAGCGTCAGAGCCCGATTTCCGAGGATTCACCAATCTAGTCTGGGAGGCGGGCCGCCATGGAGGCGGTGGCGAGAGGGGGCGGGGACAAGGAGAGGGCACTCACAGTTCTCGCGGCCAGGGTCTCTGAGGGCCAATGGGAGAGGCCTGAGGTCTGAAGGTAGTGAGCCGTGGGGTTGGAGGCTCCAGCAACTAGAGGCCGTCCAAGTCGGACCAATCAGAGTGAGGAGGTGGGAGGAGGTTAGCCAATCAGTGTGCAAGATAGGTGAGACTCGGGGTTGAGGAGTCTCGCGTGGACACTGCAGGCTCCCGAGTTCTGTCAGGGGAGCCGGGCGTGCGGAGGCAACTGAGGAGGCGGGAAGGCGACAGTGGTTTAAGAGGCAACTGCAAACTTGAGGGGAGGAGGTCCGAGAGAGTGGGAAGCTATGGTGATGGCAGCGAAAAAGGGCCCAGGGCCAGGCGGTGGGGTTAGCGGGGGAAAGGCGGAGGCCGAGGCAGCCTCGGAGGTGTGGTGTCGCCGGGTGCGGGAGCTGGGCGGCTGCAGCCAGGCCGGGAACCGCCACTGCTTCGAGTGCGCCCAGCGCGGGGTCACCTACGTGGATATCACCGTGGGCAGCTTCGTCTGTACCACCTGCTCGGGACTCCTGTGAGTGGACCGGCGCGGGGGGCGGGCCGGGAAGGAGTAGTGGAGAGTCGGCGTAAGGGACAGCGGGGATCCGGGGCGTAGAGACAGAGCCGAGGTAGGGGATGGCGCAGAGGCCTGGGGATGCGCTGGATGTGGTGAGAGGGTCGTCCTCTGCAGTAGTGTCATGGAGAAGGGAATGGGGCAGGCGAGTCAAGACACACAGTTGGAGTCGCGTTGCAGGGGAAAGAAAGGACACCGGAGAGGAATGGAGAAACTCCCTAAGGGAGGCGAGGAACACCGAAAGTGGGGAAAATGGAAGGAAACTGAGGGATGGGGGTTAGAGATTTCAAAGGCCATTGAATGACATACATCTCTAAAGGGAACTTCATGTATGAAGCAAAAAGGAAAGAGGTAGGGCAAACCCAGCTCAAGATGGAGTACCTTTCTTCCTTCTTGTGCCCGTCCGGCAGTGTGAGATGGAGAAACTAGGTTAAAATAGGTAAATTAACTCAGGTTAACAGCACAGAGATAGTGGCAGGTAAGGAGCCACGTTCCAGTGTTCAGGTGCAGCTCATTATCTTGAAATAATATCCAGAAGTAGATATCGTACAAATCTAAGAGACAAGAGCTGATGGGTTGCCCTGTTAGAGAGCTTAACTTTTCCAAAGGTTTGGGGATCTGGATGAGCCATCCTTAAGTGTAATAATTTACATCTTTAAGTTCCATGCTGCCATAGCTTGATCCTGGTAGTGACATCTGTAAACTCTTTCTAGATTGGAGCAAAGGGTTCTTGAATAATCTGATATGCTACACTTGGCACTAGCACTGTATTTGGACATGCCTGAGCTAATTTAGAACCACAGTTCTAGCCGAGATTTCTGGTTATAAAGTAAATTTCTTTTTTCCCCTTAGGGAATTATTTGGTTAGATGCATGATTAACATTTGATACCATGCCTATATCTCTATTTTTTAAAAAAGTTAAGGGGTTTATTTTGACTGATTTTTAGTATTGTTTTAATACATCGGTTTGTTTGGTTGGTTGTTGACTTTATTTTTAACAAGGAGCACTTTCCTTGTTTCTTCTTACACCTTTAGGAGCCAAGGAGGGAGCAGTATTGTTCTTGCTTGACAGATGGGAGAACAGAAGCAAAGAGAGGTTTAGTAACTTATCCAATGCCATATGGGGCTTGCTGTTTTTGGCATTTGGTGTTTGATATTAGTTATGATCATGACAGACCAGAAATTAAGTTCCAGGTTTTCCAAAATACAGTTTAGGATTATTTTTCTATTCAGTTTTTACCACCTTTGCCAAACTTCTGTGTCCTGGTCAACCTTACTTGTGTGTGTGTTGTGAGAATGGACTTGACTTTGGTCTAAGTAAAGACCACTGTGGCTCTTGGGACAATGGTTTAGAATCCAAACAAATGTGTCAGCAGTTGAGATAGAAACTCAAATGAAGCAGAAGGATAGAGACTTGAGACTGGGACAGGAACTCTGAGGAGAGGAGCAAAGTTTAGGAATATGAATAGCATAAAGTAGAATGGAAAATCAGATTCCTGAAGATCTTGTTATGAAAAAGAAAATCTGCTTATAGAGTCTGGAGAAAAGTAAAGGGAAGCAGAGAAATAAAATTGACGGTATATAAGAGTATAGGTCCTAGGAAGAAAATGTTAAGAAACAGTGTTAATTCATTCCCACAGTTATGGGATGAAAGATAAAATGCTGAATAAATTGAAAGTGCTGACATCATTATCATTATTTTATAGATCTTTATTTAAAGTATTCCATAGATAACATTTCCCTTCTATAATGAATATCCTTCAATAAGGACAGAAGGAAGGCCAAGGGATCTGGAATACATTAAAAATCTTATTTCTTTTGCTAGAATAGTTAACTCCTTAAATATCAGTGCACAATTTGCAGAATTTTACTACTCTACTCTGTGGCCATTATTGTTGGTCTCATTAATGAAAAATCAAACACCTGTGATCTGGAGAGACATTGGGTGGAGGTGATATGGCCTAAGGATGAATTAATCTAATAGAGAAGTACCCTAAGAGGCCTGGCTCTGTCTAGGGTGGATGTACCTCAGACTAGGGGTTTATCTCCTTAAGAACTTGAATTCCAATGAGAACAAGTGGTAGGAGTCTATCAGCCCCCCCCCCTTTTTTTTTAGTTTCAAATGTCCTAGAAAGGACATTTTTGCTTAGTATTTTGGTAAAGCATTATGAGAATCACTCAAAGTGATTCTTGAGGTAGTAGACTTTAGGAAACACATTTTGGTGATTGGAAAATGAGAGGCTAGGCCAACACTTTGTTAGCAGGAAGTGAGAGTAGAATGAAGGATCAAGAAGAGGTTGGCTGAGCCAATGGATGAAGCTGAACCTAAGGCATGTTGAGAAATTATAAGGAGAGAAATATCAGAAGAAACGCTACAAGAAAACTGCATAGTTTCCCTGACTGTGACTGTTCGCCTGGGTTCTTGGTGGTACTATTTGCTAACTGAAATTCTAATTAGCATGGACTAGAGCAAGGCACATAAAGCTTTTAAAGGGGTCTTTAAAATTATTACCTGTTTCTGATGTACTGTGGGAATAGGAGCTGGCATGTGAGCCATAGGCAGAATGTTTGAGGTGGCACATGCTTATTGCAGGTTGCAGAGTGAGGAGGGAACACACACAGTCCAGCAGGCAATGGAGAGGCATGGCTCCACAGTGGCACGTACACCAGTGACCATCTTAAAGCCACATGGTTGATTGCCCATAGATTAGGATCTTGTGGTACTAGGAAGTGAAAATTCAGATAGGCCAACAGCCTGAATATTCATTTAGTCAACAAATATTTACTTAGTGTCTCTCAAGCCCCAGACACTATTTTAGACACTGGGGATATGGTAGTGAACAAAATTGACAAAGTACCCATCTTCATGGAGCTTACATCCTAGTTGAGGCCATGGACTCTTAATAAATCATTAAATATGTAATTGCAGGTATTGATAAATGCTAGGAAGTAAAGCTCAGCATGGGCTAGAGAGTGGTGGGAACTCATTGAGGTATGATAATGAAAAGAGTAGAAATATTCTTTGTTAAAATGAAGAGGATATTGAGCGGGGAACATCGAAGTACCATACTTAGCATCATAGCCAAAGAAAGGGGACATCAGGATTGGCTTTGTATTTTAAAAGCCAGTTTTCTGTTGAGTGTGTTACAAATAAGACTTCCTCTTAATGCGATAGAGTGTTCTGGGGACAGTGAGAATTACCAGAGTTCCCAGCTGGCTGAATTGGCTGTTGAAGCAAGTTGACTGTTCTAGCCAAAGTTGAATTTCCCAAGAGCTGAAAAATAATTCACATTTTAATACTGGTGGGTGGGTATGACTGTGCCTTCATCTCTGCACGTGTGAGCTCATTTTCACTCTCTCTTTTTAAATAGGAAATACTTTCTTGGCTGTAGCAAAACCCCACAGCACTGGTGTGAGGGCCTGAGAGAGAGGCTGTTAGCTTCTGCTGTTTCTAAATTTACATGTACACTGCCACAATTGTAGGTCCCAAATTTGACCTAGTTTTTAGTCATTTGGTTTTCTTCCAATACCTAATTTCCTTAACCTGGATATAGATCCTTTTAATTTTCCCAATATATTCATGTGCTTATTTGTTTAGTTATATTTCTAACACTTTTACTAGAGGATGAATCTGCCATTTGAAGCTACATTGGTGTAAAAATTGCCACTAAAAAGGATTTATTTTCAAAGCATGCTTTAAATGTTTTTTCTTGTTCTGGTTTACTTGCATACCTCAATGAATAAACCACTTTTCTTTAAAAAAGAAAACAGATTTGTAGGTCTGAGATTTCAGTGACATCAGGGATGGGCAGTGCCTTTGACATACAATTTATTTTCAGCAAAGTATGTAATATACTTCCCTGGCTGTTTGGGTCCATCTTTTAATCCACTGTTCTTCAGGTCTCAGTAGTAGATACTTGTCTATTCTACCTCTGCACAACTCTACTTTGATAGTAGGATTAAGTCAGGATTAAGGTGAGACAGAGCTCTGGGTTGGGTATGAAGACAGCTTGACAGCTCTTTATTTGTGACAAGTTCCTATCATCCTTGTCCCTTAATTTTTCTGTCTGGCTTACTAGTAGTGGCTTCTTATTGAAGCACTTTATCTCCATGGAGGGAAAGGTGTAGGATGTTATTCAATAATTCAGTACTTTTCCATCTGTCTGGATTGAAGAGGTACACATGTAACTTGCCTTTATTTTAGTCCCATCTCTCCATCCCCTCCCACCTTACCTTTCACATTCACCTCTGCTGGGCAGAAGTAGACAGAGTCTCACTAAATTATAGACTTAAGCACTTGATCACACAGGGCTCTTGCGCAACTTGAAAAGCCAAGCCCCTAAAGAAATGATAAATTACCAAAGGGATGAGAAAAAAATGAAAAAAAAAGTAAAAAGTTTGACATTGAGCCTAAAGTGGAGGACGGCTGGTAATATCAGGATTCCTTGTGGTTCTACATAGAGGACAACTGTTTATCATTGTCACTGAGGAACAACAACAGGAAATGGATTGAAGCAGGGGAATTTAAGAAGAAGTTTCCTAAAATTAGTGAAATTGGCCCTGGAGCAGAGTAATAGGGGAACCTTCCTTTTAGGAACTATTAAGAGCCTCTAACAGGAACTCTTCTTGGCGATGTTTGGGTTCAAGATAAGAACTAAACTGGTTAGCTGAACTCTGGTCAGAGGCAGAGTGGAATCTTGGGAGCAAAGAAGCACAATCTTGGGTGTATGAATTTGAACACAAATATTCAGAGGTAAGGAATTCCCAAGTTCAGATTTGGCACAAATGAAAGAACTCGGATGTTGGGCGGAACTGTTTTTTTCCATTGCTGACCTGGCAGAACCTTCTTATCTGAGCAGCAGAGCAGGTTTGAGGCTTTTATGAAGCAAGACAGAAACAAAATATGGGCCAGTGTGAGGGTGATGACCACAGAGAAAAGGCTTGATATTTGTAGAAATAGTAGAGTGCTTAATGGAGGAGAGAGAAAGGCTAAGAGAGAGAATTGGGCAGACTTTAGGATCTCTGCAAGTTGCTTCACTTGCCAAGCAATTCAGAGTATTTCAAAGAGTGATTCAGATACTTAGGTGCATTTTTGCAAAAAAGAAACTGAAATGGAAAAAGACATCATGACTGGGCTGAAAGCTCATGTCCTAATAATGTACTTGCTTTCATTTGGAAAAACTTGTACTATTCTGGGCAAATAAATTTATCTCTGTATTTCCCCAGCATCTCTTGGTTAGAAATAACATAGTGGACTTGCTCTGATAACTGAAGGGTAGTAGTTCCTTCTAGCTCTCACTTCTTCTTTTGGGGAGAACTTGAGAATTAATTTGGGGAGACTGGGTACAAGTTGGAGAGTTGGGTCTGTTTAATTTCATGCAAGTGACTCACATCTGGCCCACTGTATAACCTTGTATGTACCCAACGGAAAGCAACACTCCTAGACCACATGATGTCAGCTACTGGAGGGGAGGGGCTCTAGTTTCTAAATTGCTTCTCTCAGCCAGCAGTGGCTTCTTTATGATTCAGAAACAAATTCTCTGACTCATAAGCCATGTAACTAGGTCTTCTTCCTGGGCTGCAGAGTGTTGTGTTGCCCTGTAGAGAATTCTCTCTGCCCCTAAACTGTGGCTCTGGTTATAGTACATAATCCATTCTACAGACATCAAGGTCAAAGCAATGCTTTTTGTACTGTACTATGGAAACATCCTGTTCCATTAGATTCATTTGGCCCAAAGCACCTAAATCACTTATTTTCTCTGCCATCCCTACCTCCTATCTCACGGCCACCCCCACCCCCCAAAAAAAACTTCAAGTTCAGCCATAGGAAGTTCTGTTGTTCTAAGAATCCCCTCTAGACTGATGCATGGGTCAAGTCCATCCCCCTCCCCCTACAAGGAAGCATACCTCCCTTTTTATACTTTGCTAACAGTTCCTGGTTGTCCTTTCCGGAAATGTCACTGACCTTTTTGTGATAGGTTTAGAATCTGTTTTTCTAGTGTAAGCATAATACATTTTTACTTTTCCCATGATCATTTCTATTCCTTCCCCAACTGCTGATTCCTTGTGCCACATTCTCCCTGATCAGCCTGTGTGCCTAAATGATACCCTACTGCATTGAGAAGTACCCTTGTCCAGGCTCCCTGGGTCCTTTTTATAAGCCAGCCTCTGTGATCATAAACTGGATCCTATAATTTTTGTATCCCCCAAAGTGCCGACCACAATGCCTTGTGTTTTTGCAAAGTAACTATTTGTTAGTGGGAGGTGAAGAAGAGGACCAGGATCAGAGAGAGGCAGAGAGAGGCAGAGAGAGGCAGAGAGAGGCAGAGAGAGGCAGAGAGAGGCAGAGAGAGGCAGAGAGAGGCAGAGAGAGGCAGAGAGAGGCAGAGAGAGGCAGAGAGAGGCAGAGAGAGGCAGAGAGAGGCAGAGAGAGATCTGCTCTGGCTAGACCTCAGAAAGATATAGCATTCTGAGGGGGAAGGGCCTAGTGGTTAAGGTGAGAACAAGCCAGAGAAAGAATATAAAAGCAGGCTGTCTGGACTTTAAAACAAAACCAAGCCATTAGTAAGAGAGGCTTTAGGAGAGAAACTGGAATATCTCTGAAATGTGATCAGAAGAGAGCCTTCAGGGCAGATCAAATTTAAGAGCTATTGCTCTTATCTTTCCTAGGGGCATCAATCCTCTTTGATATTGCTTGTTTTTTAAAGGGGTATTTCCAGACCCTTTAAAGTCTGTAACAGAATTGCTGAAAATGCCTTCATTTGTAGCCTCCAGTGCCCTGTCCTTTGCTAGAGTCCGTAATCAGTAATTTATCATCCAAAAGGGCTCCTGCCCTTTACCGTTCACTCTATACTGTCATCTGTCCCCCTCTCTGTCACCTCCATTTACACTAACCTGAACGTTGCTGTTCATCCAGACTTGGCAGAGGCACCTGTATTCTGTGTGCACACCTGTAAGCATGAATATGTTTTCCCCACCTTTTTCTAGGATTTCCATTTGGTGAATTTTGTTATCTCTTCCTTCTCCTTATGCTTTCCCGAGGGCATCAACCAGGGCCCTATTCTAGAGTTACAGCACTTTTATTTTCACATCTCAATTCGCTCATTTTTTTTCCAGGGGAGTAAAGTCCAAAGAGTCCTCATCAGTCAAGACTGTCTTTATAGCATGTGCCTGTGGTCTTTCATTCCTGGTCCCAGAGTCCAGTTTATTTGTTTTAGTTTAGCCAGTTTTGTTTTAATCTGATGAAGGCAGTAGGTCTAGACCAGAGTCAAACTTAGGGTATAAGGAAAAAGGAACCTATGAAATTCTTCCTGGCTTAGCCCCAAGTTTCCCTTGTTAGAGCAGCTTAGAGGACAGTTGAGGCAGGGCAAGAAAGCCTTTTTTCTGCTGTAATATCCACAGGGCTTCTGTGGGCAGAAGTGGACTCCCAGAGAGTTAACGAGCACACAGAGCTGGCACAAAAACATCACTACAGAATATATGTTCCTGACTCATGCCAATCTCATATCTCATGGTCAAACCTGATTTCCTCCTGCTTCATTGAAAGATCTAGAAATGAGAAAGTCCAGAATATTTATTTTCCCAGAGATCTATTCCTGAGAGAGAGAGAGACCCTCTCCATCTCTACCACAATGCCAACCTTCTGTGTAGACATGAGGAGGGGCAGCCAGCCTAGGGATTCTGTTTTTTGTCTCCAAATCTTATCTTTGTTAATATTATGATGAGCCTTCATTTTTGCCTTTCCTTATTTTTGAGACATTTGGGTCTCATGGACTATGAGACCTTGAGGATATGCTATATAGGTCTCAAACAATGATAAAACAGGATATGGTAAGTGGTTGGACATCTGAGTTCCCAGAAGTACACCCTCAGCTTGAAGGCTGAACACTGAACTGTTGGGGTGTGAGCCAAGATAGAGGAGGGTTCTGGATGGGCAGTCTCTGCCTTCTTCTCCAGAATGACTGGAATCACAGTATGTTCCTAACTCCATCATCCCTGTCTCTTATTAGAAGCCTCCAAAACATTCTTACTTCCCTTCTTTCCTTGAATTAGGAAGTAGCTTCAGGCAAGGAGTTCTGCCTGAGCTTAATATATGTGCTATTTTATCCTTTCTCCCTTCCCCTCATCCATTAACAGACTTTCAGTACTAACTGCATTATACTTCTCTTTCTTTCTGTTTCTCTCCTACAGGAGAGGCCTGAACCCCCCTCATAGAGTCAAGTCCATCTCCATGACAACTTTCACTGAGCCTGAAGTAGTATTCCTGCAATCTCGAGGAAATGAGGTGCGCTACTGCTGATGGTGTGTTAGTTGCCTTATCTGCTGGGGAGCTTTGCCTCAAGATTATAGAAAAACCCTACAGTTTTCTTTTTTGTCCAAGTTTCTCTTATTTTTTAGTACGTAAGATATCTTACTTATGTATATTTGTATCTTTACAGAATATTAGTTATACAAACTATGGATTGTCTGGGCCTGTAGTTAGAGGTATCAAGGAAAGGAGCAACATCTCTGCGGGGGGTTGACCCCTCCCCACCCCTGGCACTTGAGGGGGAAATTGGTTAGAGCTCTACCTTGGTAAGCTCTTGGAATTGACCAGCCTGGCCTCTCTGAGTAAGATCTCCAGGAGCCGACTTGAGCCTCAGCAACTCAGGTTTAAGTTCATGTCATTTACTTGAAAGTGAGTTAAACCCCTTCCTCACCTAAATCTGCTGGTGGGAAGAGGCCATTCTTGGTGTTAGCAGTTCTCCTAGCTTACCAGTGATTGGCTTACTTGAAGGGCAAACAAGGGCCTCTGGAGGGTGCTCTTTCTGGAAGCCACAGCTCTGAAAATTGTCCCTGACCCCTCCCAAGATTTAGTTCCCCATAATTCTCATAGCCCTCTATTTTCTTTTATAAGATGACAACTCTGTGAGGACAAAGGTCATGTCTGTTTTATAGGTATACCCAGATCTGCACACTGTGTCCACGATCAGTAAATATTTATTCATGAATAAATTAGAAGTGGCATCATTCTCATTTCATGCTTTCTGCCCTAACTCCTCTGTCACCTAACTTCATTTCTATAGGTTTGCAGGAAAATTTGGCTGGGTCTTTTTGATGCTCGGACATCTTTGATACCAGATTCCAGGGATCCTCAGAAGGTGAAGGAGTTTCTCCAGGAAAAATATGAGAAGAAGAGATGGTAAGGAGGAAGAAAGAGATTGCTATGGAGCTAGTGTCCAAGACATACTTCATCTGACTGTCTAGTTTCCAGAGTTAGACTTAGGTTGAGTCTGTTCCACTCAGATTCAGTTAGGGCTAAATTCTGATTTCAAAATAATAAAACTACATGAAAGGACAACTTGTTCTCAGTCACTAAACCTTGCGATTTGATGTCCCCTCTTTTGGGAAGACAAGCTGATTGGAGGGGGGAACTAGGCCTGTGAGAGTGCGGGTTAGTTTTTATAGCTCAGCTGATCTCATATATGGAAAAAGGTGGCTGGAAGCACCTGTCCTATATAGTTTTATGCTTTTATCCCATCTTTTCATTCCTGATTTATGTTTTACTCTTTAGAAAAACAGCATCTCTGTTCTCCCTTGCCTTTTCTCTCTTCAGTGTCACTCCTTATTTTTTGATTTCTGGAGTATGTGCCTGTTGTGAGTTAACTATAGGGTGGAGAAGAGAATGCAGAGAGCAAGGAGATTGATATGGATAAAGCAACATTTGGGATTCTTTATTGGGGGTGCCCTCAGGAGAAAGAAACTTCTTCGAGAGTAGAGACCACAGACACTGTAGTGAGAGAGATTTTATCAGAAGTAGCAGTTGCTGGCGGGAAAGGTTGTGAGCACTTAAAAGATGAGGTGGCAGAAACTTTTTCTATGGGTCTAAGAAGGAAGAATCTGAAGAAACGCCCTGGAAATAAAAGGGGGGACCTCAAGTAGGAAGTTGGAAAATAAGATCATCTGTCTGCCAGCATTATTTCAGGTGTTATTACTTAAAACCCAGATGATGTCAGAAGGAAGAGGGAATAACAGGCATAAGCCAGAGTAAACAACACTCTCGTAGAAAAAAAACGAACATCTGACAGTAAAAGGGAACCTTAAGATAGGCAGAACTTTGTTGTGTTGCTAAATTCCTTTCAGTTTATAAAAGAGAATTAGTAGAGAAAAATGAGAAAGCATTTTGACAGCCGTAACCTATATTTCCCAAGTACCTAAGCTGAGCATGGTCCAAGGTTTCAACCCTCTCCTTTCAGCCTAACTATTCTTTCTTGAAGGTATGTCCCCCCGGAGCAGGTCAAGGGGCCTGCTTTTACCAAAGGCAGTGCCTCCACTCCTATCCAGGGCTCCATCCCAGAAGGGAAACCTCTGCGGACACTTTTGGGAGATCCTGTGCCATCTCTCTCAGCTGCTACGTCCACCTCTAGCCAGGTAACTCTCAGATCTGCCCTTCAAGATTATTTTGGGATTTGGGAGACAGGAGTGTTAGTTTCCTAAATCAAATCCCCTGGACTTAGCAGACAACAGTTCAGGAGCTATGAGTTGGTTCTCAGCCCTGCTGTTACTTATGTCTGCATCTATCATCTTGGACTCGTATCTTTTGGAAGAAAGAACCCAACAGGAAGTGGTATTTAGGGAAGTCAGAGTATGAACTCCAAACCTGACCATTCCTCCAAGGAAACACAGAAGGGGCCGGGACTCTGATTCAGCACCTGGAAAGACAAGGAGATAACAGCTCCAGGGGCACTGTTGGGCAACATCCTCGTGTATCTCAGGGTTACCTTGACCAATATGCTCTATAATATGTGGCTCTGGGAGCTGGTTTACTGAGGAGACAGAAGAACTAGATACGAGAGAAGCTAAGGTAATCTTAGCCCAGAAATTCTCTCAGTTGAAAGCAGTTTCTCACTCTCTTCTCTCTCGCCTTGCATATCTGGGGCAGCCTGGGGAGCCCTGCAGGGGCGGGTCATATCTGGGATTCCAAGTGCTATATGTAATGCCTTCTCCTCCAAGTCTGTCAGTCAGTCTCAGGCTCGGACATCCCAGCCCCGGAGTGTTCAGCCACCTCCCCACTCCTCGATGAAGAAAGCCAGTACTGACCTGCTGGCTGACATTGGTGGAGACCCCTTTGCTGCTCCCCAAGCAGTACAAGCATTTGCTGCTTTCCCAGCCTTTGTGGGTAAGTGGGACTTGGGATGAGAACCTTCCTACAACATGTGTACCCATAACACAAGGAATTCACTTCCTTGGCATGACCAAGTTTCACTTGGCCCTAACTCTCTTCACATGAATGAATGTGATGAGAGGGTTAGAATCAAATGGGTAGGGCAGGGATTATGTTTGCAAGTTGGGGGCTCCTAGCACTTTCTTTTAGAACACTGGAAATAGCATTTTATTACTTTCTCTATTAAAATGGGGGCAGGAGGTTATGTGTTCCATTTCCCCTGCCTTCTTTCTAAAGATCAGCAGTAGCCAATAATAGTGTTGAATAAAGTGGTATCTAATTTCCCCTTTTATCTTTTCAAGCCCCTTCCCCACCCACCCCAAATTGTTTTTCACATGATTCTTCCCAAACTAGGCCCTGACAAAAATTTTCATGCCTCATGGAATAAGGATAAAGAGTGATGGGCAGTGAACTTGGGGGCCTCTGAGGTTCCCCTTTCCCCAACATATGTTGGTTCTCTGCTCCAGGTCCATGCCCTCTCCCTCTGAAGAGGGCCCTATGGAAAGGCAGATGTTTCATTGAATGGCCTTTGGTCTTTAGAATTGGTGTATATTATATAGATTAATATTCATTTTATATATTTAACCTTTATATTCCCTCCACCTATAGGCCAGACACCTTCCCATGGGGGCTTTGCCAACTTTGAAGCCTTTGGCAGTAGCTCTTCTGCATTTGGAAGCATTCCTCTAGCTGGCCAAGCCCCATTCCAGCCCCAGCCAACACCCACAGGTAAATTCTGCCCCACTGGTTTCCTTTCTCTCTTCCAACTGTGTTCAGTTGTCCACATCCATTTATCACCCTTCATTCACATCTGCACCAACCTGAAGAACTATGCAAAGGAGACAAAGAAAAGAAGCTCCAGGAAAGGATGAGAGAAGTCTGATGAGATTCTTGTGAGGAAGAGGAAGCTCTATTCTATTTTTTCATGGAAGGAAAATAGCTAAAATTGCAGCAGAAGCTGTACAGGTTGTGCACGAAGAGATTTCTGAGAAGTATGGGAGACCTGAGTCCTAGAAAAATTGAGAAAGAACATGACTTTCTCTAGAGTGCTCTGATCGTCTATGTTGCAAAGTACCCAAATATCAAGGGCTGGGTCAAAGTCCTCACCCATCCGTCTTAGAACAGAAGCCTATAAACTCTGTTTTGTGTAGTTTATATTATACAATTGAAAGAGAGTCTAAAGGCTGCCTTAAAGCATTCGGCACCTCCCTAAGTGCTGAGGCATTGAGTCTTCAGAGCCCTTCTCCCTTTGGACATCTTTGGATGCAGGAAGGCACTAGAGGGCTGTAAAGACTAGACGTTTGGGGAAAGCCAGTGACTTATACTCTCTCTTTCTCTGACCTACCCACCCTTTCCCTGACCTACCCACCCTTTCCCTTCTCTACCCTCACTGCCAGCCAGTCAGATGCTAACTGGAAGTTACAGTTTTGGTAAGTTATTCTGCCTTCCCCACAGCCTACCCAAGGTAGGAGCCTGCTTCAGGTCCTTTGATCCTAGAGTTTCGAGGTTTGGAAGGAACCCTTCAAATTTAGCCATTTTGCAAGTGAGGCAGTTCAGCAGTTTCCCTAGTCGTGCAACACATAGAGTGGCAGAGCTCGACCCAGGGCCCAGACTTCCTGACTCTCACTCTGCCCAGACTTCCCACTTGCCACCGTGAAGTAGCTACTTGCTTTTGTTTTTATTTTATTTTAATTTTTTTTAATGGACATTTTATATTGATAAAAGTTAACTAAGGAGGTTCTCACATCATGAACTTAAAGTAACTGACAGGGTAGCCTTGAAATTCATAAAGCAAAAACAATAAAAATCTAATAAACCAACAGAGAAAGAGACTATAATAGACTCTCTCACAAGATTAATAGATAAAGTAGATAGACCAGTAATGAAGGAAATCGACCATTTGAGTAACAAGTTTGATCTAATAAATATAAGTAGAACTTTGTAACCAAAAGGCAGAATATATAGTATTTCCAAACATAGAACTGTTTTATAATTTGACCATATAGTGGGAAACAAAATCTCCATAAATTCTAACAAACAGAAATTGCATAAGTCACATTCTAGTTATGACAAAAGATGTCCTAAACAAAACTTAAAGGCATGAAACAGGGAGAAAATACTTACAACATGGAAAACAGACAAAAAGCTACTAGCCTTATGTGTTTTTTAAACACTTATAAATAAAAAATATAAAATAATGGACACAGGAAACAAGCAGATAGTACCTGGAAAAAAATATGCAAATGTCTTCAACCTAACCAGGAAAAATGCAAATTAGGATAAGATAATCATCTTGCACATTATATTTGCAAAAATTTTAAAGATTGATAATGGCCATTATTGTGTGGGGAAATGGGCCCTTTCATGCACTGTTGGAAAGAATGTAAATTGGTATAGGGATATTCAGTTTAGCAAGAGGAAAGTGCTTCTGGGAATGAGAACTCAAAAGGAAACAGCCTATTTAAGCTATTTAATTAAGGCTGTTATAAGTTGGTCTGTTCAGGAATGCATTCCTAGCACAATTGATTGTTTTAAAGACTTTAAAGGAGAGAAAGAAGGCATTGGCCCTGGAGCCATCCCTAAGTTGAATCTTTTGTCCAGTGTCTGACCATTTCAAAAAGCAGAGTCTGCAGCCATATCCAGAGCCAACCAGCATTTATGAGGCTTTTGCCTGCCATTGCTAGGAGAATCCACATATTATCTCCAGGAGGAAGGAATGATTTCCCATTTTGCAGTTGGGCAAACTGGCTCAACTTGATCAGTGACTTGGCCAAAATTGAATGGCTGATAAGTGGCAGATTCCATTCACTTTGCACCACACCATGATCATGAGGTTGTTTCTGTGAGTGTGACATAAAGGACTATTGGGTATGAAGCAGGGAGATTTTGGTGAGAGGTGGGTGTCTCTTCTGACAAGCCTGGTTATATTTTTATATTTCTGAGGGGGAGTATGGAGAGGGGAAGTTTCTAAAACTGCAGTTTGCCCCTGAAACTGCTGTCAGGCATGTGTACAAATACAATTTCTGAGAGTGAGACACTGGATGTGTATAAGAAGCAATGTCAAGGGCAGGTATTCCTAGCAGACATCTTTCTGAGAATGCACTGTCTATGCAGGGTACCCACCCTATCTGAGCTAGGGCCGGCTCTGCCCTCTGGTGTCCACAAGGAGACACACAGCACTGCCTGTAGACAGGAAGACAGCTCTTCTCCCACCCTGGGAAGGCAGAGGACCTGGTCCTCACTGAGGGGAGCTCCCTGACATGAAGGCCCAGAGCAGGACTGAAGAGTCTGAGCTAAGTGAGGACCGGGAGCTGTGTTCGCTTGGAAATTCCATGTACTCCAAGTCAGGCAAGGGAAGGGTCTGAGGCTGGAAAATCATAAAATTTAACACCACCCTGCTGGCTTTCCAACCTTCCTCATGGCTAGTAGAATGGAGAGGATTGAAGACCGAGTATGTGCAGTAGCATTATAGCCTAGCACTTGTTTCTGTAAGAAATCCAGGGGTTGGGGAGGGATCATAGCCAAGGAGAACACTCTCTTTTAAGTGCTGGAACACTAGAAACAGCCCATTTTTGGAACTTTGCAGCAGGCAGGCACTGGGCACCTGTCTTCTCTGATGGATTCTCAGCTTCTTCAAGTTAGAGCCTGGTCACCATTATTATGCTCAGTGCCTAGCACAGGGCAGATACAGTCTAAGCCTTTAGAAAAGAAAGAGCATGCAAATTCAAATTACAGTTCTGAGCATTCAGAAAAAAAGCCCAAAACTTTAATGACAAGAAACCAGGCCCAAGTTTGAAGGGGTAAAGAAGCAACACCAATTTGAGAACCAGCCTGGCTTTGCCATTTCCTTCCTGCCTTGTCTCCTATCATTATCTTCTCCTTTTTGTTTTTCTTCCTCTTGTCTCTGAGAGGAAAAGTGTCTTCCATTGTGAAGGATACCCCCTCACCCTTCCCCACTTTCTCCACTTACTCCACCTTTGCTGGCACAGTCCCTTTTTCCCACAAATATGCTTAAAGTTGCCATTCCTACAAAATATTTCCACAGCCTTATCCATGTTAGCTCTTGTCTCAACGTTTCTCCACAGCCATACCTCTGGGAACAGGAGCCAATGACCTGGATTTACTCATTTTTATTGTCCTGTTTTCTCATTTTTTATACACTTTATGGCATAATATACGTGCTGTTCTGCACCTTGATTTTTTAAAACTTAATGGTACTGTTAGATCTTTTTTAGCAGTGCATTAAGAGTCTTCATTTTTTATAGCTGCGCAATAGTCCAACATATGTATATACCATAATTTAATTGGTCCCCTGTTGATGAATATTTAGGATGATTCAGTCTTTTGCTGTTAAATAGTGCTGCAGTTAATAACTCTATGTCATGTTTTGCACTTTTAAGTTATATCTGTAAGAAAATTCCTGGCAGTAGAATTGGTCTAGTGGGGACTCAACTGATACAGAAATGAATAAAACTATATCACTACAAATATGTCAAGTGCTATAAAGGAAGAGAACAAGGTGCTGAGAGGCAAACCAGGATCAAACTCACATTAGTGCATCAGGAAAGGCTCATCTGAAGACATGGTTCTGTTAAGCCCAGAGGGTTGAGTAGCAGTTAGTATACCAAAGCCATGGATGGAGCCTCTTATTCAAGGCAGAGGCAGAACATATGGAAAGGCCAGAGCTCAGAATCCAGGGGAGGGTCTTTTCACATGTGCGCATGGTCTGAGCCAGCCATCATATATTTCCTTTGAGACCTTGTCTTGCTTCTCTGACCCTAGAAATCATTTCTTAAATCATAGGTTTAATACCTCACATTTGTGTTATACTTTACAGATTTCAAAAACACTTATCTCAGGGTCTTTTTAGCCACTCTGAGAGGGCAAGAAAAAAAATGAGCTCAGGAGAGTTTAATGGTTTGCTGAAGTCACGATAATAGCAAATGGTAGAGCCACAACTAGAAATCAGTTCATCTCACTCTACCTATTCAAATAATCATTCATTCTTGAGCACCAGTATATGGCAGTAATGATTATTCAAATAATCATTCATTCTTGAGCACCAGTATATGGCAGACACTATACAAAGTGTTTCTCTTCAGTAATGAATCTCCTCGTAAAAATAAAGCCTTTTCCCATTTGTAGCTTTGTTTTATCCTCACAACAGCCCAGAACAGTTGACAGATGAAACGTAGACACGTTGATAAAGAGGTTTTTGTAAAATGACAGGGCCTCAGGCCTCTTCTCATGAGACGAGATTGCTCAGGATTCTAGGTCTCCTGCTCTTCAGGCTGTTTTGTAAAACTCACATGTGGGGCTTGCCCTCTGTGCTTTTTCTTTTTCTATGTGAAGACCAGGGATGGCAGGAGAACCCTGCAATTAGTCCTGTCCAGTGAGCAGTGTGCCCAAGTCCTGATCTAAGCTCATAGCATCAGGGTGGCCTCCACGAGGAGGCAGCTCCGATGGGAGAGGGAAAAGTGCTGACAGCTTCAGATTTACACTCATCACCTCCAATGCCATCTCCACATTCTATGAGAATCTCCCAAGTGTCCTTCAGCCTTTCTGTCCTACATAGCTCCTCATCTACCCCCTCTTCCTACCCCTTCAAATGATTATCCATAAATGGAAATGCTGCTTTGAGGAAATTACAGACATTTCCATTTGTTGAAGGGAAAAACTAGAAAGTGTAAGTTAAACTAAAGCAGAAAGGATAATGACCTGACAGGAGGAAGATCTGCTTTTCTCTCAGCGGTGGTGGCATTGAGCACTAGGGAGATTGAGAAAAGCTGAATATTATGTTACCTGGAATTCTTGGTGGGAGACAAGCCCTTCTGAACTGAGTGATTCGTGGGAAGAAAGGGCTGGCTTAGAAAACCTAGGTGGTGCCTCTCATGCCATCACTCCACTCCACTGCGCCCCTGCCTCCATCTCTTCTCTTGCCCCTTCCATCTATCTTGTCTAAGCCCAGCACTCCCTGTTTTATTTCCTGTGACTGCCCAGGGAGCAGCCAAGTGACTCCATTTGGTACCTCTCCACTTGTACCTGCCAGTCAGCCCAACAGCCTCACAGATATGGGTGGCCTCCTGGGACCTGGGGCGTCAGCTGGAGGTGTCCCTAGCAGGTAGGCCCAGACATCGGGGCTCTGCCTTAGGGCAGGAGAGCTGATTGAGAAACCCTGGCCTTGCTTTTCCCAGCCCACTCAGCTCCTCCTGTCTGACAGGACTGGGTTTGCCATCTCCCATTCCCTTACCCAGCTTCTCTCTTTGGTCCTGGAAGATGTGCATGCCAACTTCTCTCCCCATATTGCAGCATCTTCGGGATGACTGGTCAGGTCCCTACACTCCAGTCAGCCACAACTGGCGGAGGTGGCAGCACAGGGCTTGCCTTTGGAGGTGAGTCTTGCCTGTGGAAACCCAGGGAAGAGATCCAAAGCCAAGAAGAAATTGAGGACTCTGGGCAGGGAGGGGATTTAGAGGAACGCTCGGTTATCACAATATTAAGCAAATGAGAAAAAAATAACCCTCTATTTTTCTCACCTCTACCCCATTGCACCCTGAGCAGCCTTCACCAACCCTTTCACAGCACCTGCTGCTCATCCCCAGCTGCCTTCCACCAACCCATTCCAGCCCAAAGGCTTGGTCACAGGTAAGCCTCCCGGACTGTCCCCTGGCCCTGTCTCTGCAGGGTGCAAATTCCCCTGCACCTCTTCCCCTTCACCTCTCCTCTCACATTGTCAGGAAGAGTGGCAATTGTGGGAACCAAACAAGTCCCCTGGCCACTCTTTACTAGCCCAGGCCAGACCTATTTTAATTTCCAGGCCACCTAGAGGGCAAAAAGTAGAAACATCCAAGTCTCAGAATCAGAATTTCAAAATTAGAAAAAACAGACTGCTACTTAACAGCACCAGTTCTGAAGGTGGGTTTAGTGTTGACTGATAGTGGCAGTGATTCTTTCTCCAATCCTCAGTGTCCCTTTGAGAACCCAGCCTCTCCCTTCAGTGTCCCAAGGTGAGCCACTTGAAATCATGACCGGGTTCCCTGCCCTTATCGGCCAGGGTCCTGTGGTCTCCTCTCACTCTGCCCCTCCTCAACTTCTGCTTTTCTCTCTTCTAACTCATGCTCCCACCCCTTTTTTGTCTTCAAAAACCTTGAGGCCATGAAGATTAAAGAACAATAGCTACCAGAGATGACCCATGTGGCAGGCCCAGGGCAAAGTGCTTTACATCCATTATTTACATCCATCATCTCTGTGACATAGGTACAGTCTCATTTTAGAGATAATAAAACTGAGGCACAGAAAGGGCTAATAATTAGCTTTCGTTTATGTAGTTTAATAGGTAGCTGAAAGCTGCCCCCAATTCTGTGTCATACCTGTGTTCATAACCACTGGGCTCTCCATGCCATGAGCCATATAGGCAGGAAGGGGTCAGGTTTGGTGGATTGCATGGAAGCTGAAGAGTTCCATGACTCATGCAGGGTACTTCCACTGGGTACCTCTGGTTAGGGAAATACTCGAACCCATTTCTTCATCTTAGAGGTATTTAGAAAAAACTGTTCTCCAGCCTACCTTCCAGAACTTTGCCTGAGCCTCACTGTCTTTCACTCCACAGGGCCCAGCTTTGGGATGAGCAGTGCTGGGCCTGGCTTCCCCCAGACAATGCCACCCACTGGGGCCTTTGCCAGCACCTTCCCACCGCCGCTGTTCTCCCCACAGACCTCGATGACTCAACAGCAGAATGGTAAAGGATTCAGACTGTGCCCTCCTTCCTCACCCCCATAGACTGTGTGTGTGTTATTAAAGAGCCACACACATGTGAACTAGTTCCATTTTGGACCAAAGGGGATGAATCAGGGAAGCACCAGACCTGCTATGTCCTCTGACTGCTTCATACCTTTATTACCATCTTTAGGAAGGCCCACTAACTGCCTACCTGGAATGTAGCTGTGCGTGCCCTGAAGGGTGGCAGACAGAGCTGGTCAGCACCAGCACGAGGGGCAGGGCTCATGTCTGCTGAGTTTTTGCTCTTGCTTCCCAGGCTCTTCCTTCAGCGACTTAGGATCTGCCAAGCTGGGACAGAGGCCCCTGAGCCAGCCAGGAGGCATCTCCACCAACCCCTTCATGGTGAGTGCTCCAGTGCACCATGTTGTGGGCCATGGCCTCTCTGGGGGTGGGGACAATCCTTCCAGAAGAAGGCGACGTGAGGTGGAATGCAGGCCTCTTCCTCATGAAGTTCTGCCTTGTCCAAGCCAAGGATGAGTGGTGTAGTTGAGGGGCCTCAGTTCTTAGCCCTGTCATCTCCCAAACCCTTTGCCCCTTCTTCTTGCCTCTTAGCTCTCTCACATTCCCACTTCCCTCAAAACAGTAATGTTGAGGGAGAAAAGAATCTTGAACTGTATTTCTTCTGTGGCCTCTAGTTTTTCTCCCCTAATCTAACAATTTGTGGTGGTTGTTGTTTCTTTCCAGACTGGATCCTCATCAAGCCCATTTGCCTCCAAACCTCCGACCACCAACCCATTCTTATAGCACTGTGTCCTGGCTCCTAGCGGGGGCTCTTCCCTGCTCTCTGGGGCCCCTGTACTCCCTGGAGCTCTGGTGACCATTTGCCTATGGCATTTCTGTGGGTCTGAGATCATAATGGGCCTGTTTTGCAGGGTAGGGGTCTTGGGGATGGTGGAGGTGCTAATGCTTTGCTTGGGGCTTGCAGATAAAAAAGCGGCTTCCTTCCTTTCTCCTTCTAGCCCCCACCCAGGCAGGAGGCCCAGGAGGAGAAAAGGCAGGGCCTGGCCTAGAGGAGAGATGGTATTTTATTTCTCAAATTATTAATTATGATGACAGTAATCCTCCTTCTGTCCTCAGCATACACAGCACTCCCTTCATTCCCAACCCCGTGGGCAGAGGAAGCTGTGGGCACAGACTGACCAGTGTTCCGAATGACTCTTCCCCATGGCCAACTTGCCAGAGCTATTCTCCTCCTGTGGGAAGAGTAGGGTAAAGTTGGGGTTCAGGCATGGTGTTGATGTGGGATAGTAATCAGACAGGCTGAGAAGGTCTTGGAGGTCTAGAGTGCCCTTGGTGCCCTGGCTTGGGCCAGCACACCCTTTTCTTCATGTTTTTGCTTCCCTAGCTCCCTCCCTCATCTTGGGTACTTGGGACGACTAGTTTTACCTACATGCTTAGACATGCCCAACTCCTGTCAAGCACTTTAGTTAGCTGTGGTATCATGTTTGGATACCAGTGTTTTATATTTATACATAGAGAATTTTCTAATATAGCCTATTATATATATGTGTACACACACACACACACACACACACACACACACACACACACACACGCAGCCATTCTCCCTCTATCAGATAGCTCTTTTACATGGGGAGTGGGATAAATCCCCATCTGTGCCTCGACCAGCAAAGCTGGAGCTGCAGGGTGTCATGAGGGAGGGTAACCACATGTCCTGGCCACCCCAGAGACTAGGCTTTTCCAAAGAAAGGCTTTGTGCGATTGGCTATTTTTTTTTTCTTTCTTTTTTTCATGTGCCTCCCTGGCCCCCAAATCTCTGCACCAAAGCTGTTGTAGGCAATGTTGGAAAAGAACTGCATTTGAAAGAAAAAATGGCTCCTGTGGTCTTGCTTTGGGCCAGCTTAAGGGGCCTCATGTCAGTCAACATGACTGCCTGGGTTGGTGATAATGTTGCCTGCAAAGCCACTTGCCATTGGCCAAGGATAGGAACAAGGACAGGACTTGTTGCCCACAGAGCCAGCCCCTGTCTAAACTGGAGTCCCATGTTAGCAATGGTAGGGAGCACAGCAGGAGAGGGGCTACCTCTGCCAGGGACAGGAGTTAGGTGGCTATAGTAAGGGGGGTGATTCCCACCAGGGGTGGGGGAGGGCAAAAGAGGAGGTGCCAGCTGGGAAATAGAAGTGGACCTGATCAGAGTAGACCACTCTCAGGTACATCCTCAGGCCCTCCCCAGACTGTTTCCACCTGAGGATGTTGTGTCAACAGCCTTGGTGTCTGGGCTGTTAGAGTGGTGACAAGACAGATAGCTTGGGTTAAACACCTCACCTGGCTGAGGAGAGGCCCAAGACTCAGCCTTGCTGTCAGAAGAGATTCCTCCTTTTTCCATGTTGCCAAGGAACTCTTGGCCCTTTAGCCATTCATTCTTGGGATTTCTCTGGGTCTTTCCACCCAGTGACCTTTAACAGCATAACAGCAACGAGAGGCGGGGATTGAGTTATCAATTACTTTGAGGAATTTTCTGGGAATACCTCCAGCTACTACTATTTTCCCAGCCAGGCACGGCCTCCCCACCTTTCCACCCATCCTGTCTTGTGTCTATGTTTGAGTTCTTCCAGCTTCTACCCACCTTCCCTCTCCTGGTAGGATCTCCCAGGGTAAACCACCATCTTTTTTTTTCCTGGATTTATCATGTTCTGTCTGTTCCATTCTCAGTATTTTTTTCTGCCACCCTTGATTATCTCTGTCCTTCCTCTTTCTGTTTGGCATTCTCTGCTTAGGGCCAGGGAAGAGGGCATGGGGAGTGGGGTGGCGGAGGGAGATGGGGGGAGGAAGAAAGCTGATATTTGTTGTGGTATAGGAGGGGGAAGAGCCTTTTCTTATTTTCCCCCAGCTCTTCCCACTCCTCCTTCCCTAACTAAAAACACTAAGGTTTGGAGGTGAGAGTTAAAGGATCAGGAGCTATAGTGCCTCTTACTTTACCGCATGTTTCGGTCACACTCCTGCTGTTTCCCAGGGATCTCCTTACTGCTTGGTGCCTGGGCCCAGGACCTCCCAAATGTCCCCCTTCGTGCCTCCCAGTCACTCTGTCCCACATGGACTCCAGAAAGTTCACTGGCCAGAGCTGGATAACCCAGAGAAGTTACACTAGGTCAGCCTCGTGCCCCAAAGCAGAAAAATCAAGAGCCCCCAGGCACAGGCTAAGACCAGGACTGCAGCTGCCTCTCGGCCTGGAACAGCCTCTACTGGGCCTCCTCTCTACAGACAACGGGCAAAGAATGGAAAACTCCCCGGGCTGATAAAAATATTTAAGTGACTGGACTGTGTTCCTCTTGCTGCACGCCCCCAGGGATATCCCTGCACGGCCCTGCCTGTTAGCTGCAAATCTGGACCCCACTACACACACACTGTGCAGCCGGAGGAACTCACCCAGGTTTCCACCAGGTTTCTGACCAAGTCCTCATGTTCCCCTACCCCCAACCATTGCTGTGACCATGCTCTGCACACAGCGGTCCTCTGGTCCCAACCTTCAGCTGGTCACCTGCGACTGCCCCTATTGGTGAGGAAGCAGGAGCCAGTCTCCAGGTGCTCTGTAAAGAGCATTCTGTCCACCTTGGAGCCTTGGAGCCATGGCTGGGGAGGGCTGAAGAAAGAGGCTAAATATATGGCGCTGTCCCTACATCCCCTCCCTCCACAGAGGAATGGGAACTCAGGATGGGGGAGGGAGGGGCACATGCGAACAGCCCAGCCTTAGTACCTCAGCCTCCTCCCTCTAGGTTCCTCTCCTGGGTAACAAGATACTTCCACAGGGACTTAGAATGTGGAGATTCCATCCTGCCATCCCATAGCTGCCCCGCACCTGGCAGGGGGATGCATAAGTGAACCCCTCTGGTTCGGGAGAAGTGTTCTCACCCAGCAGAGCTGAGGTTCTGTCACTTCCTGTATCTGGGGAACAACTCATGTTACCCAGGCAACGGGCTAGAATAAATCTTATCTGAGTAAGACCAAGGGCAGTGTTGCTAAGGCAACTGATTAGGCCAGTTGTTTGGCTCCAGGCTTTTCCTGGTACCCAGCAGGCTAAATCACTTGGCACTACCAAGCCATCTACCACAGCTGCTTCCTGCTTTATCTATACCCAGCATTTAGGGGTTCAATGTGACAACAGCTATGATTCCACAGGACTGGGGTCCTGCAAGGTGGCCTGGTTGATGGGGAATAGGAAGGAGTAGGTATGAAGAGACCCTCCTATGGATAGTTGCAAATTAAGCCTGGGGAGTAAGGCTCCGGCCAGGAGCATGGCAGGTACGTGGGCCCTGTAGGTGCCCTGCTCTTTGAGGCAGCACCCAGACTAGTAAGGCGAGTGGCTAACAGATGGCATTTATTTCCCTGCCACTTTGCACATTAATACATGATGTATATATCAAGGCTACATGAGGGGCTATGGCCTTGAACATACTGTTTTGGTGGCCACTTATGGATCCGTTATATACCTGCTTCCCCCTGGGCCAACAGCCATCAATGGTGGCAGCTGCTACTGGCCCCAGTGCACTACCTGAATTGCCAGCACCTCTCCTGCACCTTGATGGGACTTTGGCTGACTGGAGGGCACCTGAAGCAGCCCCTGGGCACCGCCTGCCTGCTATCTGGATGCCCGCCCTCAGTTTGCTGGTTAGCTCGTGCATCACTCTCAACATCACCCTTGGAAAGGTGTTCACAGGTCCTAGCTTCCATGTACACTGCACTGTTGGCTCCTCCAGTATTCTAACTCCTTCCTTCTAGGCCTGGAAGGGCCTCCCTACTCAGGTTGACCTGACCCATGGACTAAGTAAAAGAATCAGGTTCCTTTGCTTCAGCACTGTTATATCTCCTCTGTCCTTGACTGTACTCTCCAAATGCCATCTTTAATAGGAGCCACATGTTGCCCTCTTCTGCTTCCTCACCCTCAGCTCCCCCCTTTAGGTATCTTAGTTGCCATGAGATTATATAATGAGGTCCTCTAAGGCCCCCATCCATGTTAACTGCTAAAGTTTGTCTTGCAGAGTATATGGTGACCAGCTCTATCTTCCCCCAAGTGAGTTGGTCCAAGGAAGGATCAGAAGCGGGGTGTAAAAATGTCTGAATTCCAACCCCATCTCAAACCTCTCAGGAAGCAAGAGGCAAAAGGGGTAGACCCACCAGAGGTCTCTGCACTTCTGTGATCATGGTGACATTTTTGGACAGTGGTGGTGAGAAAGGGCTGAGGGTATTGGGGCAAGCATGAGGGAAATACTCCTGAGAGATTGCCATTTCTTCCACAGGATCCCCTGTGGCCACTTAACTGGGATTCAGGTAGGTATGGGCCATGCACAGTGACCAGTCCAGAAGTTTACTTATCCCAAGACACCTCCTTATCACCCCAAACCCACAGGGAAAGGACCTCCAGCTCCTCAGAAATCAGCACAACCCAATGATCAGCCACATGGCTCCAAGGATTACTTGGGAAGGACGACTTCCACAGGATCCCCTGTGGCCACTTAACTGGGATTCAGGTAGGTATGGGCCATGCACAGTGACCAGTCCAGAAGTTTACTTATCCCAAGACACCTCCTTATCACCCCAAACCCACAGGGAAAGGACCTCCAGCTCCTCAGAAATCAGCACAACCCAATGATCAGCCACATGGCTCCAAGGATTACTTGGGAAGGACGAATACAAAACCAGTCCTGGGTGGGAAGGGGGCAGACACAGGTGCTGAA